GAGACAGGAGTCTCACTCTGTTGTCCAGGCTAGAGTGAGTGCCATGGCGTCAGCCTAGCTCACAGCAACCTCAAACTTCTGGGCTCAAGCGATCCTACTGCCTCAGCCTCCCGAATGGCTGGGACTACAGGCATGTGCCACCATACCCAGCTAACCTTTTCTATATATTTTTAGTTGTCCAACTAATTTCTTTCTATTTTTTAGGAGAGACAGGGTCTCGCTCTTGCTCAGGCTGGTCTTGAACTCCTGACTTAAAACAATCCGCCGGCTTGGCCTCCCAGAGTGCTAGGATTATAGGCATGAGCCACTGCGGCCCAGCCATGAATTCTTAATTACATTTCTTTCTCTACCTTACTGTAAGAAATAATAATACATATAACATACAAAAAAAGACAGTGTTTGCTTTTTTCACTCTCATCCTCTCATGACTGCACATGATATATGATAATGCAATAAACCATACGCAGCAATGAGAATCTACTCTTTTTCTGTTAAGCCAGACAGTAAAGATGCTTGCAAAAGTAATACAATGACACTCTTCTCATTAAGTTTTTCCGGAGAGTTTTACAATATGTAACTTATGTTAACATGCAATGGGTTCTTATTGTTGTTTCTAAACAGATTACTAATATTTTTCAGTTTCTCAGTTCTACAATATCTATGTAGATTATTACCCATATAATGCAGTGGCATCATCACCATAGCTCACTTGCAACCTCAAACTCCTGGACTCAAGTGATTCTCCTGCCTCAGCTTCCTGTGTAGCTGGACTATAGGCATGTGCCACCACGTCATTAATTTTTCTATTTTGTAGAGATGGTATCTCGCTTTTGCTCAGGCTGGTCTTGAATTCCTGACCTCAAGCAAGCCTCAGGCAAGAATTTCTGCCTCAACCTCCCAAAGTGCTAGGATTACAGAGGTGAGCCACCATGCCAGGCCCTTAATCATTTTAAGAGTGTAGAGTCGTCCTGAAAAAGTCTGAGAATCACTATACTACTCAAATGCACCTTGATCAAGTCTCAGACTCAAACTCTTATGGAGAGGGTGGAACATTTACCTGGAGATTGAGAGGTTGGGTGAAGGCTTTCTCACAGCCTGGGTGTGCACATTTGTATGGTCTATCACCAGTGTGGATCTGCATGGGATTAGAAGAGAAGAAAGGGAAAGGATATCAGCAAGGCCACTTGGGGATTGGCTCCTTAACAAAACTTCAAGGCCAATCCTGCCCTCCTAAGCAAGCACATCAGATGGGCCTCCAGAGCCACCAGCCTTGGTTCCTCTCTGACATGGCTCAGGTTTTGCCTTATATCTGGTCACGCGTGCATCACTCAGCTCAAGCTAAGCCTCCTCTCTGCTGGGAAGAAGGATGAGGACTCAGCACCCAAGGACAAGCAGTTCACAATTTAGCATACAAGCTAGCTCCTACAGTAATTAATCCTATCAACATTCAAAAGTATAAAGTAGACACAATGGCAAGAAAACGAAAAACATACTCCTTCTTGGCCTCACCCTACAGCCAGAAACTATCCCTCAGCCTTGTGTATCACCTCCAGATTAAGTTACAGTATTACACAAAAGCAGAGTCACACTAATTGTGAGGAGTAGCAGTGATATTAATGGAAATGCACAGAAACTCCTAGGGGCTTTTTCCAGTCCAGTCCCCTAATAGCAAGAAATGCCTAGTACCAATTTGAACTCTTCCTGCAATACTACAGGGCCCTCTGCTAAGATGGGACAAGGACTTCAGGTGCACTGACACCTGCTCCTCATCAGAGTTCAGAACCATCTCTGTGACTAGGGGTTTTCTGGATCCTGGTATAAAATGCTGAAAACATCACAGGACATGTCTCTTCTTTGTGAAGAAAGCCTCTTCTCAAAGCAAGATGTCTAATCACTTTATGGTGGAACATTACATCCACAAGAAGCTGTGTGAGATGGCCTATGCGCATGTCTGAACTCTATCCGACTTCAGATACCACATGACGGAGATGATCACTCTTATAGTTTGGCAGGTTCACTTCCTCCCAGTCACTCCAGATTCACAGATGAATGGTGAGCATCCTTATGAAGTATGAGCATTTTTTTTGTTTGCTAGTTCTCTGAGAATATTAGTATGTTTTGTGTTTGTTCTCCATTCCTGGCATCTCTGGTGTTGCTTGTTGCAGTGGGTGCAGGCGTTGCTGTTGCAGTGGTGTCATCAGGCTGGTGCCCAGCTAATGTCTGATTATATCTCTTGTTGTAATGGTGAGCTAAGAGCTAGAGGTATGGTCTTCTCTTATAAAATGCCTCTGCTTTGGCATCAGGAGAAAATCTTGCAAGATGTTTGCATGGGTATCTTCAGGGAGGGAAATGAGGAAAGAAAAGTTGTCTCTACTCCAGACATCTCTGCCTCCCATGGATCAGGGGATGTCACAGTCATTTTATCTCCCTGATGTAGCTCTGCCTCAGAAAGGCTTTCTTAGCATCCATGTGTCTCAATGTTGTTGCTTGGTCTTCTTTCTCTCAGACGCCAGCCATGTTCTCCTCCAGCCACGTCTCTCCCCGCCCCCCGCATGCGGTTGTTTTGTGTGTCCGGGGGGTGGGAGACATGCCAGCGGGGCGGGTCAGTAGCCCGCCACTCTCCTTACCGTGTGTGCTGCTGGAGGTGGGAGAGCTGGCGGAAGCCTTCTGGCAGTAGGAACAGTTGTAGGCTTGGCCCCCGAGTGATACGGAGGTGCTGGGCCAGGTAGGAGGGTTGGCAAGGTCTTGGAGCAGTGCGGGCACTGTTGGGGCTTGATGGTCTCCGTGTGCTTGGAGTGAATCCTGCCGGAGAGGAGAGGAGGGAAGGGGGAGGAGGAGCAGTTCGACACCAGGGGCTCAGCTCTCTGCTGGGTGAAATGATGTTGCTTGACGGATGAGAGAGCACCCCCTCCTCCCTCCTCCCAAACACATCCAGCCTGGATAGGCTAATGAAGAGGATACCCAGATCTAGGTTGTTGTTGATCGTAAGTCGGTGGTGAGAATGGCAGTGAGATGATGAAGAGCTGCAACCATGGCTCTGGTGACCTGAGTCAGTCTCGTCAACCCTCTGCTTTTCCTAAGGTTATGCACTCACCACAGATACCCTGCTTCCAAATAGTAATTTGAACAAAGACATATCGCTGTTCCCCATGGACCTGAAGTTGAAAGCACACCTTGGATCTGAACTGAAGCATATAGTAAAGCAGGGCCTGCTCTGCAGAAGATTCCAAACACAGACACGAGAGAAACCACAAGAATGTTCCAGACTTTGGGATTGAAGACCACAGTTTTTGTGGCCTCCCAATTGCTAGGATATACAATTAATTCCACATACAATAATAGCAGAGAATTGAGGCTATCAAAGACAAAGTGAAAGGAAAAAACAATACATGTGGAGAGAAGAGTAGGTGCAAGCAACGGGCCTTGGGTCTTTTGCTCAGGCTGGTTTTGAACTTCTGACCTTGAGTGATCTGCCTGCGGCAGCCTTCCAGAATGCTAGGATTACAGGCATGAGCCACCGTGCCC